CTCTTATGCCTTAAAAACTTTGGTGTGTTTACTAAATTGTCCCTAGAAGATTGCATTTATATTGAGCAGAAGACAGATAAAATAAAAGATTCACAGCTTCTTTTCAATCTCACACAAATGATGAATATGTCATCAGCATAAGAATGCCTCAAATGGGGGCACTGGAGAGGTGGCTTAGTGGTGAAGAGCACTGGCTGTTCTTCCAGAGGTCCTGAGTTTAATTCCCAGCAACCACATGGTGGCTCCCAACCATCTGTAATGGGATCAGATTCCTTTTACTGGTATACATGAAAACAGAGCACTCATATACATGAAATACACTAATAAAAGAATGCCTCAAGCTTGGGAGATGCCTTAGGTTTCCAATTCCCCACATCCACATAAAGATGGACACTGTATCACGTGCTTGGAATCCCAGATCTCTTATGGTGAGATGCAAGATATAGTCTGGAGAATCCCTGGAAGCTCATGGACCAGAGTTCTTGGTATATGCAGTGGCAAGCAATATGCAAGGTGAGAACTGATACATGAGGTTGTCCATACACACCATGGCACATGCATCCCTGCAATACACACACACACACACAAACACACACACACAAACACAAAACTATTGGTGAAATTATTAAGGCAACTCCTAGTAGTTAAAAGGGAGGTTTATTTTGTGGGGTAACTTACAAGTAAAGGGATAGGTAACAGGGTCTGGGAAAGGTGTAGCGCGCGGTGTTCTCTGGAGAACTCTGCTCGGTCTACCTCCAGCATCCAGGGTCCAGGAACCAAGAGAGACAGCGCATCCGGATCTCGGGTCTTCAGGGTCCTCTCTTGACCCACCTTGTAGGTGTGACAGTTACCGAAGCCTCAATGGGGGTTGGAACTTCCAGATCAAAGCTAGAATGGCTACCCACTACACAAAACATCTTTTTAAGTTCCCAAATTTTGCAAAACTACCTGGAGATAAATTGAAACTGGGAATCCTGTGTTTTATTTCATGTACCTGGTGACTCTGAGGCTGCATATCTGTCTGGGTTTGCCATTCCCAGTATCTCTGCTTGTTCTGGGCTACGAGCTCCAAGCTTCCTAGCTGGCAACATTGCATTCAGCAGCATGTCCATGTCTGGTCAGTTGGGTCTTTTCTCTTTTCCTTCCAGTGACCTGTGTGACCTTGGTATCTTTTTCTCAGATGCAGGAAAGGCCTCACTGTTTCTCAAATCATATTTGCCAGGCCATATTGCCTACTCCCACAGACTGGTAGCTTCACCAACAGAGTTTTATGTTCTAACACTTCTAGAGTCTGGAAGTCTGGGTTAGCTCTGTCATCATAACTAATATCTGAGACGACACAGTCATCAGGTAAAAAGGTTCCTCTTGGTTCAGTTTCAGGTGATTCTTTGACGAGGCAGCTCAGTGCCTGGGGTGAGCAGCACCTCATGGGGGCAGTGGGGCAGTGGTGGAGCAAAACTGCTCACCTCATTGCCAGGAAGCAACGAAGAGGAAGGATGGTCACAGTGTTCCCTTCAAGAGCAAGCCCCCAAAGACCTAAGGGCCTCCTGCTAGACCCCACTTCCCAAGATCCTACAGCCTCCCCCCAGAGCCACTTTGTCATCTAATCCTTTAGGACATGGACCTTATGGACATTCAACTATAACAAAGCCCATGATTAAAATCATCAAACTGGTCCTGCCCCACTTCCTGTCTGTTTTCTGCTTCCTGGCTGTGGATGAAAAGTGCCTAGCTCCTGCCTACAGACCTCCCAGGCCACATCAGTCTGCAACCTGCTGAACTGTAAACCAAAAGAAACTGTGGCTCCCTGAAGTTGCTTCTTCTAGGTATTTGGTTCCAGTAGTAGGAAAAGTAGCTGATGCATATTACTATGACATCTCATTATATAGTGGTGTTATGCTAAGTGCAAATGTCTATGAATAAGTAAATGTCAATCAGAGGCTGTAGGGAGCGTCAGAGAAGAAGCAGTGTTACACAAGGAATTGGAGAGCTTATCTAGAAGACGATGTCTCAGCCAAGACCTGGTGCATCCATGAGCCCTATGGATCTGTCAGGGAGGGTGCTCCATGCAAAGGGCACACAGAGCAGTGCAAAAACCCTTAGGCAGGAGGACATGGTGTAATTCTCAGCAGAGCAAAGTGTGGAGGGGGGCTAAAAGGATAAAGTTGGGGTCATAAAGTGGGGTGAGAACACGGGGGCGGGGGGAGCTTGTGGCCTAGCCTAGGGTCTTTGAGCCATAGGGCATCAGCTCTTGTCTTTGTGGATGCAGCCATGTGCCTGGCGAACATTTTCTGCCCTTAATGCTTTGTTTAAATTGGTGTTTATGTCATTATCACTATCAAGTATTATTTTCCACATTGCTGAGCAGTGCATTATGATAATGTTTGTTTAATCTCTTGTAAACACTTTGTTAATAATTGCCTCATTTTCTTCACCTGATTAATTTTCTGTGTTCGTATTTATAGTTCTTTCCGAGCTCTCTGACACAGTTGGAAAACCCCTCGGTATCATTTTCCATGCAGGCTCTCTATTGGTCCCCCACCACCGAGGTCTTCCATTCTGGAACCTTCCACGCTCCCGCTCTAACTCGCTTGCTTTCGCTCTGCCTCAGCATAGCTGTTATCCTGAGAATTCATTTTCCTTTTCTCTGCGGAGGGCTTCTGTTTTCCTGGACTCTCTGCTTCGGTCTCGCTTTACCTTTGTTTGGGTGGGACAGCTCCTGTTCCCACCTTCTAAGAAATGATGAGGGAATGCCCAGTTGTACACTTGGCCTGCTGAATGCCTTTATTCCATTCTCAAACTTATTTGGGACTTAATGGATCTGAAATTCCACGACTGATGTCACTTTTCCTTAGAATTTTGAAGACACCGTACTGCTGTTTCCTAACTCCTGATCTTGCCATGAGAAAACTTGATGCTTCTTCTGATTTCCTTCCATGAGAACTTGCTGTTTTACGTAAGTGTTAGGATCTCCCTGTCCTGACTCTGGGCCTTGGTGTGGATGTAATGGACACGGAGTTGCTGGATAAAGTGGAGGACGCTCATTAAATCTGAACTTCAGATAAACTGCAGTATTTAGGACACGATTATCCTAAAAGATATCGACCTGTTCTCTTGAAACTCATGTTTTGCTGAATGCTCTTTTGGTTTTTGTTTGTGTTGCTAAATCCGGCAATCCTGTAAGTTTTTTTTTTTTTTTCAAACTTGAGACTGTGTCTTTTGGGTTGGTGAAATTTTTATATATTTTTCTTTTCTGTCTAAAACAATGGTGCTCAACTTTCCTAATGCCACGGCTCTTTAATACAGTTCCTCGTGTTGTGGTGACCCCCAATCATAAAATTATTTTCATTGCTACTCTTCATAACTGTAATTTTGCTACTGTTATGAATCAGAATGTAAATATCTGATATGCAGATGGTCTTAGGCAACCCCCTATGAAAAGGTCGCTTGACTTTCCCAATGGGATGGTGACCCACAGGTTAAGAACCGCTACTTTAAAAGGGAATGAAATATTAGTTGAAGTTTTAAAAGACCGACTAACCCCAAGCTTCATAACCATCAATAACCGCCCCCAGCTCTCATTTCCCCGCCAACTACACTCTTAGAAACACACCCCTCCTTGCTTTAGCTGCTTTTGTCTAGACCTGCTGCTGGACTCTCTGGAATACGCTTGTATTGCTTTCCAATTTTTGTCTCCTAAGTCTTAGGAAAATTCACTTCCTACTATGGAAGACAAACCCACCATTGCTCTCCACAATGCACACGAGCACCCCCGTGTATACCTTCTCCACCCACTGCAGAATCAATGTCACAATTTGTGTTCTCTCTGCACTCAGTTCTTTATTGTGACTGTGTAAATAGTGTTCCCTGTGGAGGTACCTCTAGAGGGCTGGGGTATAATTATATTTCGTTTTTCACGTGACTTTTTTTTTCTCTGGAACTACTAAGCATCTCCTTCCCTATGTTCTTCATATTTCTATATACTTGTCACTAGTTGGCTTTCAAGAGGGGAGTGGGGTTCAGCAAGATTCATGCCAGCCGTGTTTGCAGACATACTAGGCTGAACTTCACCTTCGTCTTGACTTCCCTGGGTCATACCGTCCTGTTGAAGGTGGTCTCTGCCTCTGGGAAGGCTCCTGTTCTGAGGCCCTTTCAAAGCTTCCCCTCACCTCTCTGAGGCTAGGATAATCTCTGCTTGGATGAGTAGTGTTAACAGTGGGAAATCACCCCCCTTATTTTCTAGTTTGTTTATTTTTGAATGGTTCTTGTTTCAAAGCAACCTTTTCTTCTCTCACAGACAAAATAGCTTCTGTTATTTATTGGAGGGGTTTTTAAAGTAAAAAATATGTGTATAAGTGTGTGTGTGTGTGTGTGTGTGTGTGTGTGTGTGTGTGTGTGTGAGAGAGAGAGAGAGAGAGAGAGAGAGAGAGAGAGAGAGAGAGAGAGAGAACACAGATGTGTGCTGTAAGGTCAGAGAATAACTTCAATATGTCAGTTCTTAGCTTCTACCATGGAATCTAGGAATCAGACTCAGGTTTTCAGTCTTGTATAGTTTATGCTTCTTAATCTGTCTTTATTTTTTTTAGCTCAAGGTCAAATGGTTTTAAGTCTTGGTCAGGGATTGACGTAGAAATTACACTGAATCTGCCGACATGTGAGGGGTGTGAGGGAAGCATGGGACTGAGTGTGTGATGTGGGACTTAGTTTCCATCCAGGCACTTGAGGAGACACCTGCCTAGGGAGTGCTTAGCTGCCTCACAGGCTTGCGTCAGGTATGAGGAAATGGCTTCAGCTGCCTGCCCTCACCTATAATGGGGGCAGTTCTGTAGTGGAAGGGCATGATGGTGCAAACTGGAAAGTAGAGGTCGGGTCGTGGGTCCCTATGAATACTGGAGGAAATTAAGGAAGAAACCCGATTATAATTCGCGTGATGGCATCTCCCGTGTTTGTGTCCTCGTGTCCTTCCCTGACCTTCCCTTCTTCTCCTTCCTCCCTTGCAGGGTCATACTGCATGTGGACCACTCGGGGAAACCTATGCACACCTCACCGAGAGCGGCTGGACAGAGAACACCTGACCTTCAAGTTCTCTGGAGGATGAGACTCCCCTCCCCGCTGCATGACTCAGCAGGACAGCCCTTGGTGCCTTCCACAGCAGTGACTGGGACAGAAAGGGCTGAGACAGGGGAGTTCCTCGTAGTTAAAGATGGGATTCTGAATGCTGGGGGTGGGGCCGTAGGAGGAGAGTGAGAGCTGATGGTATGATCAAAAGAGAAAGGGTGTTGGGATGATATGGAAGCATACGAATCCAGGACTGTGCTGCGGAGGCACCCAGGCACGGGCTGGCTGTGGAAGAGGAACTAATAAATAAATGGCAGTCTCAGAGGCCACGCTTTACGACTTTATGTTGTATAACAATCCCAACAGCTCAGCACGGCACTCATGTCACATGGCTTTGACAAAGGCAGGCAGATATGGAGATGCCAGAGCACTTGGCCAGCTTCCAATGTCTATCACCCATGGTGGCCACCCGTGGGCCACCACAGAAGGCACTCCATCAGCTTCTGCAGACTGTCTCAGGCAGGGGATGTTCCCCAAGGAGACAAGAGGTAGACCATTGTCTAGCATGATCTGCCTCTTGGGTCTAAGCACAGGCCATATGTCAAGGTCAGAACTGTCTTTCAAGTGGCTTCCCAGGGCCTCTTGATACCATATGCAGGTCCCTCAGGGTAGTGAGAGTGGTCTCTATTTTTCTTATTTGAAACAGGTTTTCTCAAGTAGCCCACGCTGCCCTCCAACTCACTATATAGACAAAGATGATCTTGAATTTTTGATTTTCCTGTCTCAGCCCCTTTAATGCTGAGATTACAGTGTGTGTGTACCACCATGCCCAGCTCATCTAGTAGTTCTCGATGCTCTCCCTGGAGCCCACGGCTGACTGCTTGTCCTCGTGAGAACAACAGTAATGTTACTCTGGAAGTTCCCCAATAATAACTCCTATACTATTCTCTGGGGTCTCAGGAGAGGGACATCCCCACCAGTAGACACCCACCCAAGCAATTGTTCCTTTTGGTCTACGTTTACTTCCTAATCAAGTGGCGTGGAGTGAGGGGTGTGCGCGTGTGGCAGTCTGCCTTAATGCTAAGATCCTCCCAGATGAGTTCTCGTGGCTGGGCCTGTTACCCTGCTCTAGGGACCATATTCTCAAGTAGGCTGTTGCTGATGTTCAGCAGAACACCTGATGTGAATGATTGGTGAATGTCAGTCAGCTGGATCAGTGACAGAGAGAATGAATGGATAAGCAGGGGCTCTGGCTGATAAATACAGTTAGAGCACGTACATTCAAATGGTCACGTGTTCATAAACTGTTGATTACAAGTGAAGATGGCTGTCAGACATCTTCAACACATACACACACACATACACATGTGTACACACACACACACACACACACACACACACACACACACACACACACACACACACTTTTCTCCACCAGGCTTTTCTTCTTACTAAATAATCCCAATGGCTGATATCTCCCATAAGGGTCTATTTCTCCAATTGTATCTAGCATCTAATTGTTGGTTCATTCACTAAGTGTTCCCTGCACATCTGCTATAGGTTGGGCATTTTTTTTTCCTAATTGCCAGAGATTACTAATGAATAAAAGCATTAAGATTGGGTTCTGGCCAGGGAAGACAGGCGTTTCATACAACAAATGAATAGATATTTGTACAGTAGGCGAGTTTAGCTGCAATACAGAAATATTGAGAAAAGGGAGGAGGGAAAGGCTGAGTGAGGAGGAGGTGCCTGAGTAAAGTCCAGGAGGTCATCAGGTGAGTCATGTAGATATCAGGAGAAAATGGTCCACTCAGAGCGTATGCAAAGGTAGGAAAATGGCTGCTGTGTTGTAGGCTGAGGGAGGAGGCCATGTGGCTGGAGGTCAGAGTCATCAGCAGGGTAGGAGACGATTCAGAGAAAGCCTCAGTTGGAGGGTGGGACAGGCAAGTCAGGGTCCTATGGGACTTCCTTTGTCCTCCGAGATAGTCGGAAGCCGTTCCTGCAGGATTTGAAGAAGTTTTATCAATCACCAGCAATGAGGCGCATAATCATAGAGAGTGGATAGTTTGGATCGGGCTGCTGCAGGAGAGCCGGTGAGACATGGACAGATCTCGCCCTAGGGAAAGCAGTGCCAACAAGAGAGGTCGGTTATGGCCGGTGAGAGAATGGACAACAAGGACCACTCTAAGGTTGTGAATGTAAGGAAGAAAGGCAGCCAGCCAAGCCAACACATAGGCCCGGTGGCTGGATCCACTCGCTCCTGGGCTGCCACTGGAGGACAGACACTCATTACAGAGGAGGGGCTCTGACTGACCAGCGGAGTGGCTCCCATTTCCTCCCCACTGTTCAGAGCAGGTTCATTAGAGTTTGAGCATCTTCTAGCCCCGCCTCCTTTTCTCCAGAAAGCCAGTGGGAGGGGGCAGCTGCTGTCACCATGCCCATCTGTCATCCTGACCCTGGGCCTGGGATGGGATACATCCCAGTTCCCATGATTCATGCCCTGTCTCTCACTCTCCTCCCCCACACAGCCTCTCTCTCACTTCTTCATACCTTCTCCTCACGTTTCTTTCTTCCGCCAGACCTAGAGTCGGGTAAGCCTGCTTTTCAGCCAAGCGGCAGAACCCAAGAAAAATAACCAGAGAGCCCCAGAGCACTGTGGGTTCAGGGAACTTATTCCAAGTCAATGGCCACAGGACAGCATGGGTCACGCACCATTCTAGGGTAATTTTGTATCTGTTTCCGGGATGAGTGAACAGAGAAGTGATATAATAAGACACTCTCGGGTGACCAGAGATCTCCCTGGGATGTGGTGAGAAGACCTCAGTTCTGTCCATCTGTCCAAGTTCATGGTAGCTGCATAGTCTGGTGGAGGGGAAAGAGCTTCAGGCTGAGAGTCTGAAGATTTGGCACCAACTCTGTGTGACACATACCAAGCCTCCTCTGTTCTCACTTCTTCATGAGCCCACCAGGAAATGAGCAACATGACCTGTGACCCCCCCAGTGCCTTTTCTTTCTTCATAGCTTTGAAGTTTGGGACTCCATCCATGGGCCACCAGGATGAATTCATTTCCAGGTACAAGTGCATGATGGGAAACAGGAGCTGTCTCCTCTTGCCTAGGGAGACCTCCACTGGTTCAGCTCTTGTTAAGCATCTTCATTCGGCAGCAGGCAGTTGTAACAACCAGATGACTTTGGTTAGTATTAAAATGAGTCTGGTACCTAGGTAAGAACGGCAGCTTTATAGATTACTGGTGACATAACGCTTTTGTGATAATCAAATGGATTAACATAAGTAGTGTGCTGACCTTATATGGACTGTAAGTCTATATAAGTCAGCCATGATCTTTACTATCCTTGCTATGGAATGGGTCCTGTGGATGCTCTCTTCCTGCTAGTATGAGTTAGTTTCCCAGTCCCATCTTCACAATCACCAACAGTCCTGATGGCACCTTTAGCCTGGAGCCTTTTCCTGTCCAATCACAGAAGAGGACTCTCCTCTTTCAGCTTGACCTCAGAGTACAAAACTCACCCGGTTAACTGGGGCAGTGTGGGTGAGATGAGGTAAAGGGACCTTGACTGTTCACTATGAGGGCAAAGTGTGGTAAAGTTGGTGAACATGCTTGCAGTCAGACTCCCTGCATCTGTGGGTTAGCTTGATTTTTGACAAGCCATAAATTGTGAGTTTACTGAGTCACCATCATGGACACGCAGCATTCCAGAGTACCATAGGGAGGGGAGTTTGCCTGGTTGACTGCCCTCCATACTACCTGGCAAATGGAAGGAAGCTTGTCCACAGCAGAGTGGCAATGGTTCCAGAGGCTCCTGCGTAGGGGATCAGCACCCCTGAACTCCAGTGTGCCTGCCACCTGATCCTGAGAACAGCCTCTGTCACCAAGATACTCTGTGCTGGGTGGGATGGGAACAGCTTCCTCTGAAGACCATTACTTGCACTGACATCCAGTAGTAGCTCTACTGTCTGCCTGGATCAGGTCCCTTTTCCACTTCAGATTTCTGACAACAGTCCACTAGAGGGAGCTACAACCACTTTCCTGCCTAATCTTGTGATAGCCACTGCGGCCCCTGAGTTAGCCATGGCCACTTCCGACTGGAAGGACCAGCCAAAGCCCTCCAGTGCAGATCTATGCAGGGGCTGCAGTCTGTACAGCCATTCAGCTGGGGCTAGTAGGCAGAGACTTGTCACAGTTTCCCTCATGTGTTGCAGCTGTCCAGATGTTGCCCGTGACTGGGGTAAATGGGTGACAAGCTGCCCCTGGTGTTGCTGAGTGCCCTGGTAAACAAGGCTTCTCAGATATCCTGTGCAGATATGGAAGCGACTAAGGCACCAAAGGCTCCTCGTTCCCTGCTCTGTGAAAGCAGATAGCCAATTTCCAGAGCTCTTCTGTGGGTTGTCCTTAATCCCCTGGAAGGGCCAAGGGAACAGCAGGAATCAGCACGACACTGTGGTGAAAATTCCACACAGAAGAAGCCTGGTGGCCAGGGCACTTGGGTCCAGTTTTTCTTCTGGGGAGAACTGTCCCCAGGAACTAGGAGATGACAAAGCAAAAAAATCAAGTGTCTCTTGGAAAAACAACTCTCCAGCTCAAATACCAGTTGGTCACCGAGATTTTATGGGATCTAACCAAGCTAAGAAGCAAGTCAAATCATTTAGAACTCCCCCTGATAACTGTACCCGAGTTAAGCGGGGTCTGGGGAAAGATGAACTTGGGAACATGCCCCCACACCAGGGCCAGTCTTGGAGTCATGGCCCCACTTTCCTCCTTTGTCAAGCAGAGAACCGACTCAAATGTCCTCAATAGATGTGCGTTTGCTCTCCTGCGTTGTGGCTCACAGGTTGCCAGCCCATGGCTTTCTAAAGTTTGGAGAGAAGCGTATTAAAAGTGGCCTGCACAAGGGTGTGTTTTCACAGCTCCTCATCTCCTGCCCTGTCTGCCTCCCTTCCAGGCATGCTCACTCTTTGCAAGCTGGTTCCCCTCAACGAGGTTGGGGAGGGAGGGCTGACACGCCGGGGACCAGATCTTCACTCGTCTCAGATTCCAAGTGTTATGTCTCAAAGCCGCTTTGGTGGCCTAGCCTCCATTCTGGGCTGTTTTCTGTGTTTGTTTGTTGTTGGGGGTGTTTTTGAGACAGGGTCTTGCTATGTATCACTGGCTGGCCTGGTACATGCTGTGTAGACCAGGCCGCCTCAGATTCACAGAGATTTGCCTGTCTCTGCTTCCTGGATGCTGAGATCAAAGGTGTGAATCACCATGTCTCCCTCCTCCTTTAAAACTTTGAAACAGGGTATAATGGACCCCATGCTGGCCT